TGCCCCCATAATAATGGTACGGTCAAGCCGCCTGTTGGCATTCGGACGATTAGCTGCATCTCTTGTAGGCGAGCAGGGCTCCATAAAGGTTTCCAAATTTGGCTGCCACGCAAGCAGTAACGGTCAATTTCTATGCGTGATATTCTCTGAAACATTTCAGCACTTGCAGCATGGGACGTCGAGAACAGAAATTAGTAGAACTTTGTCATTTCCGGATGAGGCTGGCAATGAGCAATAAGTACCCCGCCACGACAGATTGCGACGGGGGTGGGCAGTGCGAGCGAGACTACGTCACCGCCTGCCCGACTTACTTGCTCTGCCATGTACGAAGTACAACGACCAACTCCATCACGTTTCAACCATCACGGACACGAGAAGGCTCCTGATCGCCAGTCTCAACCACACCTAGCCCTTGGAAACACCCCGACCCGGTCACGAAGCGCGATTTTCCCAGCCCAACTCATTGGGCTGACAAAGCTCGGGATTTCCGTCAAGCGCGTATCCACCGTTCGGCATCTGTCCCAGAGCCTGTTTTTGACAACGACAAACATCAAAAACAGTCGGCGGACTGAGCGCAACGAGGGCTACGCTCTGGGCTACTATGGTATTGCCCTGCCGCTGGAGCCATGTTACGGAACAAGGCCCTGGCTGTGCTGCAGAAAACCTACGATGATAGCTACCTGAGTTGTTCGACTGCCGTCTACTATGAAAGCCAGGTACGACCGAAAGTTTGGTGTTTTTGACTTTTCGGCATTTTTGACTTTACTCTAACAATGGCTGGCGAATTCAGGGAAGTGAGGGCGAGGCCATGCGGCACTGGAGGAGTGCCCTCGACCAGATCTACGATTATCATGCGAACCGAGCACCTCCATCATATAGCGTGCGCACCGATACCGAGAAGGCGCTGCAGGACGCCCTGAGAGAGTTGGAACTGCAATGCAAGGAGCGGATCGATCTTCTTGAGGCGCTGCGTGTATCGCGGCAAGAAGAGACGCTATCACCACCTCCGCCCAGTGGCAAGTTGATCAAACGACCCAGCCTTCCGGACAACGACAGAGGCCGGGGATCCATAGGACAAGGCACGATACCCGCTGTACAATACTCTGAATTATCGCGGCCGTCACTTCCACATCGTCCATCGCAACCCCGGCGCACTTCATCAGAGCAGGCTATCGTGGATGGACCCAGCGCATATCTTGACCCAAACGCATCTTCATCATCGCTGCCGAGATCATCGTCGCCCAACACCCCGAATCTACCCCCGAATCTACCCCCAAGGCCAAATAAGACATTGCGGTCACCAAGTCCCGAAAAGCATACCATGAGAACCACCCTGCGTTCAGGAAGGCCAGGCGACAGGCCCATCAAATCTCGCAAAACCCCAAGGCCTGCGGCTGAAGGGCCAAGCAAGGCTGCGACTTTGGCATGGAGCGCCCTCGGTTCCAAGGACAGACTTCTGAGAAGTAGTCAGCCTGAGGCGGGTCCGGCGACCCCAAGCCCAAGCTCTCGCGCTTCCTTGGAACAGGTTCGCAGACCAGGCCCAGTGCAATGGGACAGTCATTCAAGAAGGCTGGTGGTACCCAGGGAGAATGATTTCAATGGGGAGTCTTCGAGCTCCACGCGTCATTCTGACGAGTACTGCTATGCACGCCCTTCCATGTTGTCCGTTACTGCGGCATCAAGTGCTCTCAATTCACTATCCTATCAGGATTTGCCCTCCCCAGACAACTACACAAGTCGGTCCGAACGGTTTACGAGCAGCCGAGACAATATTGGGGTGTCGTCATCACCCCGTAAAGTGTCTAGACACGAGGTGGCAAACGGCGCTGAGACCCCTGACGATTCCGGAGAGACATCGGAGAGAAGAAGTGTCTCGGACGCATATCCGAGCAGAAGTCCAGCACCAAAGAGATCCGGGAGGGCTTTGAAACCGCCAAAACCAACTCCGGAGAAAAGGGAACGATCACGTCGACGTGAACGAAAAACGCGGCATGTCTCGACCTCGAGCGCGTCGGCGGATGACACAGGTCGATCCGTCTCAAGGTCAAGACGAGCAAAGGCAAAAGAGACAGCCACTGAGACGGATACCCAAGAAGGCTCCTCAGATGGGTCTCAATCTGGAAAGAACTCCGACGAGATGATGGAGTGGAAAAAGAAGAAGGCAAAGATTTTGAAGAATCTGCCTCCTGGCGTTGACGAGGATGCAGCCAAACAAATCCTCAACGACATCGTTGTGCAGGGGGATGAAGTCCATTGGAGTGATGTGGCCGGTCTGGAGATAGCGAAAAACGCTCTTCGCGAGACAGTTGTATACCCGTTCTTGAGACCAGACCTTTTCATGGGGCTTCGAGAACCGGCAAGGGGCATGTTGCTATTCGGGCCACCAGGAACTGGAAAGACGATGCTTGCCAGGGCTGTTGCGACTGAGTCCAAGTCGACATTCTTCTCGATTTCTGCTAGCAGTTTGACGAGCAAATATCTGGGAGAGTCTGAAAAGCTTGTACGAGCTCTCTTCGGGCTCGCTCGAACCTTAGCGCCCAGCATCATCTTCGTCGACGAGATTGACTCGCTTTTATCTCAACGGACAGGGTCCGGAGAGCATGAGGCCACTACGAGAATCAAGACCGAGTTTCTCATCCAGTGGAGCGACCTACAGCGAGCAGCTGCGGGTAGAGAGACTAGCGACAAGGAAAAGGAAAAGGGTGATGCCAACCGAGTTTTGGTGCTAGCTGCAACCAACCTGCCGTGGGCTATTGACGAAGCAGCTCGAAGAAGATTTGTTAGACGCCAGTACATCCCCCTCCCCGAGCCAACAACTCGAGAGACGCAGCTCCGAACGCTCTTGGGCGAACAAAAACACGACTTGTCGAATGAGGATATCCTCAAACTGGTAGACCTAACAGATGGTGAGTAGAACTTTCTTGACACAGTTGGACGCCAGCTAACACTCTGTGACTTCCAGGCTTCTCGGGCTCGGACATCACCGCACTAGCCAAGGACGCGGCCATGGGACCTCTACGATCTCTGGGAGAGGCCTTGTTGCACATGACGATGGATGAGATCCGTCCAATACAGCTCATCGATTTTGAGGCGAGTCTGTCGACAATCCGCCCCAGCGTTAGTAAGACTGGATTAAAAGAATATGAAGATTGGGCAAGAGAGTTTGGAGAACGGGGTGGTTAAACTGCTTTCCGGCCTTGTATACAACATGTATCTTAGACGTGTGGGTAGACCACGCTCGCATGGGAATGGCGCAGTCGCGGGCAACGTTGGATTCCACGATGCGCACGTCACGGCCGAAGGATATGGGCGTTAGTGTTCTGATCAGGCTGAATGTCTACTATGTCATTTTATATGGTACACTTGTTTTAGCAACGACTCTCCGTCGCATGACCACTCCTCATCCAATGTCATTTATCGTACAGGGCGTGATTTTTTCGCCCGCTACTCCCATCCTGGCTCTGATCTCATACCCACAGCCATGCCTGAGTTGTACATTTCTCTCATCAGGCCGAATTCCGATATCCCACCGTGACTCGCAACACCAACATTTCGGCCGTTTAGTCGACATCGCTCGCTGAAGTCTGGGGTTTGCGTTGTTGCTGGGCCTCCTCCCAAGCCTTACGCTTAGCCTCCTTCTTCTCAAGTTCCAATCTCTTCTCCTCTTGTCGCTTGTCCTCCTCGGCTTGTCTCCGGGCTGCCCTCCGCTCGTCCTTGGCGGCCTTCTTAGCTTCACGCTCTGCTATCCTTTCCTCCAAACTTGGCACGGGTGGGCGCTCCTCAATGGGGGTGCCGTAGGGAGCGATAATGTGCTTAATGACGTGTCGCTTATGTTGGGAGGTCGGCCAGCCGGGGACAATGGCGACAACATCGCCGGCTCGGAGAGAGGAGTTGGGGTCGTGGACGAGGTAGTGCTTGGGGTCGGCAAACCACTAAGGAAGATGGTCAGCAAAACATCACTCAGACGCACAGAGGCTATTCATAGTATGCAGCAAAGCTCACCTTGTTGACAATCTTGTTCCACTTCTGACCTCCAACTCGGACCTTGACAGTCTTTTCCATGAGACCAGCCGAAACGACGACGCCGTGAAGCTCGTGCGTCACGCGGCGCGCGGCCTTGGCGACTTGAGAAGACATGGCTTGAAGGACTCGTATATCGAATAAATGTCGAGTCAATCCTTTCGAGGGCCAGAGGCGTAGCCAATCCCTCAATTGCTGGTCTCCAGAGCGAGATGTCGTTTTGGATAGCTCGCACCAGGAATGGAAGGCTGTTCTAAAATTTGGCAGCCAATAAGCTTCGAGGCTGTGCGGATGATAGCGCTTATGTAACCGAAAATCGCAACAGCGAGGGCGCAGATGTGATTGGACAAGGCTCTCACGAGACCTCAGCAGCTCACACGTGCTACGAACACGGAAGCGAATTGTCCCAAGGATATTACGACCGCACACACAATTTTAACTCTGGCTCTTCGCAGTCAGCCCTTTTCAACTATATTTCCATAATAACAACAAACCGAGCATTCCAAAACCCTCAATTCGTTATTCCTCTCATCTTCTAAGCCCATGGTCAGACTTAAGGCACGTGCCCCCCACCATTCGGAGAGTAAACCGCCGACAGCCGGCGATCCGAAGGCTTGGAGCGTGAACTCTAGGCTCAATTAGTGTGGGGTCCCTCTTCCTCTTAGCTGGTAAGATTTTGTCAAGGGTTCAACAAAATCGATTCATAGGTACTCTCCCGCCTCCTCCCTCTGCGTTGATTTTCCTTCTTTCCTCTCTTGCATACTTGCTCCAACTATATATTTGCTCTCCATCGCCACCTCGTCGTCTTGTCTCAGGCACTCCCGCTAACACTTCTTGAGTCATCATCGGGCAAACCATTATCCATCTTACCTCCCAATTCACCTTCATACCTCAACCAACATGTCTTCTCCCGAGCGTCGAACTGGAGTGAAGCGGCCTAGTAAGTACTCAACACACCGCTGGGTTGAAAGACCACTACTAACATGTCCCTATCAGGAACGCAATCTCTTCCTCCACCTGCGCTCCCCCAACTGGTCGCGGAACAGAACACACCTATCCCGCCCACCGACAAGGACTCCCAGCGTCTCATCGTCGTCCTGTCCAATGCCAGTCTGGAGACGTACAAGGCGTCGCACGGCGGCACCGGCCGCAATGGCATGCACCGCGAGGACAAGTACTCGTTGCTCAACAGCGACGAGCACATTGGTGTCATGCGCAAGATGAATCGGGATATCAGTGATGCCCGACCCGATATCACCCACCAGGTTTCAACTCTGGCTCCCTGAGTCGGCATTCAACATGCTGACCATTTCTTAGTGTTTGCTGACCCTGCTCGACTCGCCCATCAACAAGGCTGGAAAGCTCCAGATCTACATCCACACCGCCAAGGGCGTGCTGATCGAGGTTTCGCCCTCAGTCCGTATCCCCCGAACCTTCAAGCGATTCGCCGGTCTCATGGTGCAGCTTCTTCACCGGCTGTCTATCCGCTCCACCAACTCCAACGAGAAGCTGCTGCGTGTGATCCAGAACCCAATCACCGATCACCTCCCCCCCAACTGCCGCAAGGTGACACTGAGCTTCGACTCGGAGCTCGTGCGAGTCCGTGAGTATGTCGAGAGTGTTGGCCCCAAGGAGAGCATCTGCGTGTTTGTGGGTGCTATGGCCAAGGGTGAGGACAACTTTGCCGACTCGCTCGTGGACGAGAAGATCTCCATCAGCAACTACTCTCTGTCAGCCAGTGTGGCCTGCAGCAAGTTCTGCCACGCGGCTGAGGATGTCTGGGACATCATGTAAGAGCGAGCTGCGAATGAGACGGCCTGGGGGCCGGATGCTGCGATAGACGCCAAATGTCGGCTCGCCCTGCGGCGATACAACATCGTCGCTGGGGCGGGACGGCAGGGCGCTGACTTGGAATGCCTGGGGTGTTCGCTGTCGCTTGTTTTTGCAACCAAAACATGGGGCGTTCAACAACGGGTCCAAGACGTGAATGTCGTCTTGATGGGTCATTTCAACCTGGCCCATTCCTTCCTCTTGTCCTTTTTGCACTGTTTCTTTGCATGTCTGCCCTGTTTTTTCCTCCCCTTCTGCATGATGCTTGTTTTGTCTGGATGAAGATCTGAGCTGCTAGACCTGGGTACTTGCACGATCTAACCACATAGCATTTCAATGGACGAAGCACCTGGAAGTCTACATCGCCTATCTAGACTTTCAGATGCGGGGACGGGCTTGCGTTGAGAGCTGGGGTTATAGCGGATGGCAGTGGTTTAACACGTGAGGCGCGTTCATGATTCGGCCTGATTTACAGTCATGGCTGATTGGTACTCCGTGAGCCCGTGACGGAAGGGCAGACAAGATGCAAGACAGTTGAAGGGCAAAAGTCATCTGATGGAGGAGGCAATATACCATCTTAAGGTACTACTCAAGTAGTAATGAAGTGCACACTTCCATGTTACACAAACGTACATGATATTATGAACCAAAGTCGAGGCTATGAGGCCAGCCAAGTGAAGTCCGCTCCAGCCGCGAATACGCGGCAGGCCCAAAACGGCTGGTGTAGCACCAAGATGCCCCGCACAATGGTCGCGTGGGCGCGCCGACCTTTGGGGTGAGAGTGTGGGAGGGGATGAAGTGATGGACGCATGAGACATGGATACAGGGCTTCGAGCTCAAGGGTTATGCCGTGATACTGACGATGCCGAGGTCTGGTCTGCCTTGTTTGTAGCCAAAAGAAGAAAGAAAAGTCGTAATACTCCTGCCACGACAGGCTTGCTTAGGGCCTTGGGCTCTCTCGTCCAGTCTGTCGATGGTGGATCTTGGGATTCAACGCTTACTGGGTCTCGCGAGGTTCGCATATCCAACTCTTACAGGATGGTCATCGAATAAAACACCCCCACGCGAGCGTGAGGTGTGAAGGACAGTGAATTCGATCCTCATTCGATGAAGGGAAGAAGGGGCTAGTGAATGAAGCGACCAGAGGAGGCTGGTGAGGCGGCGTCTGTTGCGCGATGGCATTCCCTGAGGTGGCTCTTGTCCTATTGTCGAGAAAGCCAGTCTAATGGCCCAGGTCAAGCACAGAGAGGCCTTATCCTATCCAATGTGAGGGTTGATAAGGTAGCCGAGGGCCCGGGGTTGGCCGGTACAGGCCGGGGGTGGAGGCGCCGGTGGATGTCCGGTGGAGCGAGCCCGGCGGCCGTGAGTCCAGCCGTTGTGCTCGACGTGGTCACGCATCAACGACCGAGAGTCATTGGATCAGTTCGCACGAGCTATTCTCCGATGATCGTACATAGTACACCATCTTGTGTTGTTGTCGAGTACGTACTGCGTGTAGCATATCATATCCTCCCAATGCAACAGGGCTGGACATTAGGTAGGGAGGTGGTTAGTGCTGGCTTGATCTGGCCGCGGGCATGCGGTCCTCCTCATCATGATCGGAATGTGAGCAAAAGGAGGGGCAGAAAGAGGGGTATGAGGGGGGAACGGTATCAGAGCCATGACTCTGGAGTAGTCTGGCTGCATGGTCACGAGAAGAGACAAGGCAGAGTTGTATCGCGGAGGCGGTTTTATCAGATGTGAGGGAATTCCAGGCCATGGCAGGTTTAGAGGGTTTTGGAGCTCTGGATCATCCGAATCCGTCTGTCCATCCACCGTCCATCCATCCATCCCATCGTCTGGTCCAATGCCTTTCGCCGCCCACCCAACCACCCTCTCATGGCACGATGCCCCCCTCTAGCTGCAGGTACCGAGTCGGGACAAGTCGCTCCTGGACGCTGTACATAAGATTTCATCTATTTTTGCAGTGTATCATGATTGATACACAGTCATCTGCTTCTCTGGCATCGAAGGGAGCAATCAGGAAGTAACTCGAGGGGCAAACAGGGAAGCAAATACTTGCCAGGATACAAGACTTGGAGGGTTCAGGGGTGATCATGGGCGGGTGCTGCCGGATGGCGCGGGGCTAGCGAGCGGGCTGTTAACTCAAGGTACATACCCACACACACTGAGCCCAAGGCCCTCAGGTACCAGTCAAGATTGCACAAGTGCACAATTCCAGAGGGTTTCGGTGCGTGTTTGCAGCGCACAATGCCCTATTTCCTGGTTCTTGCACAGCACTAGCCACGCACTTGTCTCCAGGTACCTACCCTCCAGCGTGATGTGATGCGATGTGATGCAAGGCCCACGCTCACGCCAGGGGGCTATACCGGATACCTCTTTCTGGCCCCTCTATGGATGGATCCGGTAGAGCGCGAGAGGGTCAGATGTCAACGAGTCACAGAGCCACAGTCACAAGAGATGCAGAATGGGGACGTTATGAGACGCGGCGGGAGGGCTGGCTGAGACACGCACGCATTGGATCGCATCAGCTCCAGCTCCAACACCGTCTGGCAGCGGCAGTTACAGCGACCTAGCATTAGCTGGGTACATCAGCAGCAGCTCACCTCAGTGATCAGTGGGAGTGGCCAACAGCACGTAGCCCGCCATCCATGGTCCCGTCCTCACGACACCCTCTGTCTCTCGGTTCTTCTCTCACTCATCCCCCAACCTTTCTCCCTCTCCCGTCTCCCCCGACTCTTCTCTCCTCTTCACGGAGTCTCTAGAGTCTCTAGCCCACAGCTCCCCTGGGCAATTGCTCCGTCAATTGCTCCTATCATCTCGCAGCGACAAACATTCAAACATCGTCACTCACAAACTACCTAACGCAGAGACAAACCCTCGGACTTGGATACCCAGGCATATCCATCCTAACATCTGGACCTACCTACACTAGGGCATCTAACATACAATCACTCGCAACCTGGCGCATACACCAGGCACATAAGGCCCTTTGCACTTCTCTCCTACATATACACCCGGGACGACGTGAATCTCTGGACAACCTCTGGTACTGGTCGATCGATACTGCGGACCCTCGTCTCCCTTTTCAGCGTCTTGCACCCTTGATCAATCCAACCTCAGTCAGGTTGGGTGTCAAAGGAGTCATAACAATTGCCCGACAGGCAAGCGAACGACGGACAGCTCAGCATTCGCCCAAGGCAAGCTCCGAATTACGGATCCATCATTATTTTTGGTTCCCTTCACGGCCTACCGCGTCAGTTGCCAAGTCATTCACCTCGGGGCACCGATTGGGGACAGCTTGATTCTCGCATCTCGCCTCTCAATCCCTACCTCTCATTCTCGACCGCCTTCTCTCGCCTACTCCGCCACTTCGCCCGACCACTCGCTTCTCCTGACTCTCCGGTCTACTTAGCACCTCTTTGCCTCATTCTTATTACGGATATTTCCTTGTACTTTGCCAGTTTCTAATCTGCCTTTTTTTTTTCGACTCTCCGGTCCTCGGTTTCTTCTCTTTTGTTGTTTGTTACTCATCCTCCTTCAGCCCTGCCTTGACCGATATTCTGTCTCCCCACCAGGCCCCCCTCCCTGTTCAGCCAGTCAAGCAGGAGCAGTCCATCATTTTTTTCCTTCGACTTTCAAGCCTTTCAAGGTTCCATCAAATCCAATCCGGCCAAGGCACCCGAGCGGATACCTGAAAGCAGGCAACCGATCGAGTCCTGGCTGTTTTTACGGACTCTATAAGAGATCATGACACTACCTTTTGTTGAGGTGTCGCACCTGGCATCGTCATCGTCCTTCTACTCGGCCATCCTCGCAACCCTTGGTCTTCGCTTCCTGGCTGCCGACCGCGAACAGACTTCGTCGATTGGAACCATCACCTATGGAATCCCGGGCGGAAGTGCCAAGTCAAGCAAACAACGCAAAGCCCTAACCGACGGACGTGGTGACGAACAACAGGGCGGCCAGCCAGTGCTGCAGATCCGCGAGGTTACCCATCCTTTTGAGCCTGTCAAGCTCTCGATATTGGTCCTCGCCGCCCCGTCCCCGGCTGCAGTAGTCGAATTCCACGACGCTGCTCTCACCGCAGAACCGTGGCTGTACATCGAAAATAACGATGACCGAGCCTATCCCGGCGGTCACAGCCTGAAGCCTCGCTTGGGCCTCGACGGCGGTGAGACCCCAACGCGAGCAACTGTTCGCGACCTTGACGGCAACACCATCCAGGTCGTCTACATGCAACCCATGTCCCATCGCGACCACTTTGGCCGTGTTCTCGAATGGACCTACAACGGATCCACACATTACTCTCATTCGCAAAGCACCTATACTCATACGAAAAGTACCTATACTCGAACTCGCTCCAAGTCCCATTCCCATGCCATCACGGAGGCCCGTTCTTCCTCGTCTTCTATCTCTAACAATCAATCCCCCTTTCAGCCTCGCCAGTCACCCTCCAAACACGGCCCCAACACTGTTACCGCTGCCGAGATGACTCAACGAGCTGCTGACCGTGACGAGACGGACCCTGTGTCGGTTTCCCCTCGTCAAAGCTCCAACAACAACGGCCTTAGCACCACTACTGTTGTCGGTGCCCTCCTGGGCGTTGCTGCGGGTGCAGCCCTTACTTACGGCTTTGTGAGCAACGCGGCTAAGGAACGAGAACGCAAACCCCGACAGGATTTTGAGCCCCCCAATCTGCCACGCCGTTCTACCTTTCCCGAAAAGGCACAATCGGTTCACAACATGCATCCAGGAGAGCGCCGACCGGTATACGGCGATTATCCTCCAAGGACGTCTCTTCGTGGCGGCGAGTACCCTCAAAAGGCCCTCCCATCCCGGGCAGCCAGCGCCTACGAGGGTATGCCATACCCAGACGGATACCCTTTCCGGCAACCCATGTATAAAGAGGACTATGCACCTCGAAAGATGTCTCATCCGGATGATTATCCACCAAGGAGGCTTGGTTACATCGAAGACGAGAGCAGCGAGGAGTCTGAAGAAGAGCGGCCTCCCGTGCAGTATCTGACAGAATATCCTCATGAAGAAAACCCCTGGACCGAGCCTTCTCGCGCCAGGAGCAGGAGCAGAGCCCGAAGTGTCGCTAAAAGTACCGCCAAGAGCACCGCCAGGAGTATCGCCGCAAAAAGCACTGCGGCGAAGAGCACTACCGCAAAGAGCACTGCCAGGAGTGTTGCTCACTCTCGGGCCCGGTCCCCAAGCCGGGCTCCAGATGAGGAGGAATACGAGACGCGCAGCCGACACCCATCGAGGCGTCCCTCAGTTGAAGAGGTTGACGAGGTTTATGAGAGTCGCACTCGCCGTTCATCCAGAGCTCCCCATGACGATGGATTTGATAGACGGAGCCGACGTGCGTCACGACCTCCCCCCGATGATGGTTTTGACACTCGAAGCCGACGTGCGTCACGACCTCCCCCCGACGATGGATTTGAGCCACGAACTCGTCGGTCCTCGAGACCCCCTGTGACAGAAAAGGCGCGGAGTGTTCGCAGCCGCAGCGAAGCGCCTACCAGCCGCAAGTCGGTCGTGCTGGCTGATGATCACCGCAGTCATGCGGGATCTCGTCACAGCGGTGCGCCCAAGTCGTCGCACTCACGCTCCCGTCGAGCGACCTACGACGACGAGCGCAGCTATGTCTCTGCCCGGTCACGCCCATCCTCACGAGCGCCTCGACGAAGCCATCGACCCGAGGTCGAGACGGAGATTCCCGAGGCACCCGAAGTGCCTGAGGCGCCTGAAGTGCCACGACCTTTCGACCGGCCCATGCCACGAGCTCCCGACTACACGACCACTAGAGCTCCCGACCCTTACCAAGCACCACGAGGTCGTATTATTCATGAACATTCACGATATCCTCTCACTGAGGAGGCACCACGAGCTCACAAGGTTTACGAAGTTCCTGAAGTTCCTGAAGTTCCTGAGGTCCCTGAAGTCCCCGAGATACCTGATATTCCTGATATCGCAGATATCATGCCGAGGAGTCGGGCTGCCAGCAAATACGGTGTGCCTCGGATGGCCACGGGGCGCGATTACCCTAATACGGGCTATTCAAGCAAGGCCCAGAGCTATATGGCCGCCAAGGACATTGCTCTCCCCATGAGCGGCGCGGGCAGCAGCCATGCAGCATGGGAAGATGACGTTGTCAGCGTTGCTCCGAGTGACAGCATCAGCTGTATCGGAACCAAGATGAGCCGACGCCGCAAAGTACGATAAATGGAAGATTGACGATGACGAGCATTAGACATGAGAAATGGTTAGACGACAGACATTATGAGTTTGAAAGATGGATAGAGTGTGAACCATGACTGACATGTGACGAGGTTGGTTCAACAGCACGAGATGGGTCGAGACTGATAGCATTTTGGTTATGATGCCGGCATGAGAATTGTAATGGCTTTCACAACGAAGGAGGCTTGGATTCCATCTCTTACGCAATTTTTTTCTTGAGTTCTCTGGGAGGCGTTTGGGAACTCCATCATCATCTACGGCGTCATGGCATTCATTGCGGTATTCTATTTGTTGGTTAGATGCAGGGAGGATATGTGGTTGGCTATTCTGTCGTTTCTAGACCAGGATGATTTGAACGAGGAGCTGCAGCTTTGAGAAGATTGGATACAACAAAGACGCACGCACACGCTCAAGGGAGATCTATCAGATCAGCAGATACATATCAGAAACACCACGCTCAGCAGCAGCATCAGCAGCATGATGATATACAGAAGAGACACGCACAGAGTGCCAGTCCGGCGGCCTATTGCCGTGTCAGCAACCGTCCCCCTTTCGCATGCCTGTCCTGTCCCGCATTCTGCAAGATGCAACCCACTCCGTGACACTCGACACTGCCCGGATCCAACATCGTTGGTGTTGGATGTGGGGGTCAATGTGGACGGCGTCGCATAGTACATGCTAATTAGTCGATAGCATCTCATAAGTCCACGTACCCAAGGAGATCCCACCCCTCCTCCACAAATTGGTCACCGATGTAGCGGATTTTTCCAACAGTTAAATCCCTCGATGAACGGGGAGAGCGTCAGGAGCAAAGAGGCAAAAGGGACGAGCAGGGCCAGAATTACTAAACCAAGGCATCTCCGCTTCTCTACAAGAGTGCTTGTCCCGCCTGGAAGCTAAAGTGGATGGCTCGCCCACAAACAAGCCTTTTGCCGTAGCCTCTTTTGTCACTACCACCTCGATACTACTGCAAGACTCACGCACACACTCCGATTCTCGGCCACTTTTTTCACATCCCTACCACAACGGCGCCTCAAATCGTGAGAAGCAAAAAAAGTCGATTCGCTGCATTCAACTCACACTCTATCCCAACGAACAGTGTAACACTTTCTACAGCACAAGTCTCGAGTGAGATATATCGATATTTCAGACCTTGGGCGACTTTTTGTGTAAAAAATCTTCGCCATGCCTATAATTGAACTCGGCGAGTCTATTCCTCCCGACACGGCGCATGTGAGTTCAGCAAGACGTGCTCAACGTGCATATTTCATTATAGATGGGCTGACTCGATGCGTTTAGGCCGTCAGCGTCTCCCTACCTACTTGGAAGGCCAACGTCGGATATGAGGAAGGTGAAGAATGGGTTGTTGGCCGCATGACAACAGGCTACCCTCGGTGAGCCTATCTCCTGACTCACCTCAAGTTGACCTCTGGCCATTGACTTACACCATTGTTCAATATAGCTTCTTTGTCCATAGGGGTATTCAAGCCTTTGCAAAGGACATCGTCACTCGCCATGGCCGACCCGGCCAGCAGGCCATGCTCTTCCCCACGCCTAGAGTTGCAAAGCGCTGTCTCGAGTTCATCCGCCAGCGTGCCTCTCCTGAGATTGCGCGCCAGGTTGACACCATTGACTTTACTCTGGACAAATCCAAAGAGCTTTCTCCCCAGCTGAAGAAGCTATCTTCCACCATCTCAGCCGTCCTCTACCCTGAGGAGGCGTTTCCTATTGCCAAGCAGTACTGGCAGCACACTGGTGATGGCACCTCTAGCAGACGTGCCGAGTTCTGTCACAGGCTTTTCCAGGATGAACTCTTGATCCCAGTTGCGGCTGCGCAAACTCCTCCCGAGACTGCCAGTAGGCCTTTCCGCGGTCCCAAGCGCTATCAGCGCCCCGGCTCTGTCGACGGTGTCGTGTCGCATATCCCCAAGCCGCCCTCTCCTCCGGCTCCCGTCGAGTCTCTGGAGAGCTCGCGCTTCCTTGAGGAGCGCTTCGGCAGGAACCTCGAGCTCTCCATGGTTGAGCGCGCCAAGTCGGCCATCCGCAGGCGTATCGCCGGTGCCATGGCTCACGACGTTGACCTCCACAACGGCCCCCTCCCTGCCATGACGGACAACACCCGCGGCATCAAGACTCTCGAGGAGGCCGATGTCTATCTGTACCCCGCCGGCATGAACGCCATCTTTAACGCCCACCGCGCCCTGCTCAAGGCTAGAGAGCCGGCCAAGAGCATCAACTTTGGCTTCCCCTATGTCGATACCCTCAAGATCTTGCAAAAGTTCGGCCCCGGCTGTCTCTTTTACGGGCACGCTTCTGGTGCAGACCTGGACGATCTCGAGACCAGGCTGAAGAACGGAGAGCGCTTCCTCGGCCTCTTCTGCGAGTTCCCAGGAAACCCCCTCCTTACATGTCCGGACCTTGCGCGAATCCGAAAGCTCGCCGACGACTACGACTTTGCTGTCGTGATCGACGAGACGATAGGCACGTTTGCAAACATCAACGTCTTGCCCGTCGCCGATATCGTCGTCAGCAGTCTTACAAAGATCTTTTCTGGAGACTCCAACGTCATGGGTGGAAGTGCCATCCTCAACCCCGAGAGCAAGTACTACCGCGTTCTCAAGACGGCCATGGAGCAAGACTATGAGGACACATACTGGCCCGAGGACGTCATCTTCATGGAGAGGAACAGCCGAGACTTTGAGTCGCGCGTAGTGCGCACCAATGCCAATTCAGAAGCTATTTGCGAGGTGCTACGAACGCATCCCGTTGTGAAGAGCATCTATTACCCCAAGTATAACGACTCCAAACCTCACTACGAGGCCGTACGTCTTCCCAACGGGGGTTACGGCGGTTTACTCTCCGTCGTATTCCACCACAAGGCCCAGGCGCAAGCCTTCTTTGACGCCCTACCCCTTGCCAAGGGACCCAGCCTGGGAACCAACTTTACGCTGTGCTCGCCGTACGCGCTGCTCGCTCATTACCAAGAGCTGGACTGGGCTGCGCAGTTTGGTGTCGATCCCGATCTTGTCCGTGTCAGCGTCGGTCTAGAGGAGCCGGCAGAACTCGAGAGTATTTTCCTGGGTGCCCTGAAAGCGGCTGAGGCTGTCCCAGTGTCGAGCTCATGATGGAATAAGACCGTTATGGATGATGGTTCTGCTCTCCTCCCATGACGCCTTCTGTCTATATCACCCAGATTACCCAATTATGGATTATCGTCCAATCTAAGTTGTCTATGCCGGGATCTAGGTTCATGTCAGTCCGATGTTGGCAACTGGGAGATTGTGATAAAAAGTAAAAAGATCAATGACTTACGTATATATTTTGTGCTACCATGATTAGTCTGACACTTGTCAATCGAATTAATTCCAACCGCTAAACGCTATCATGAAATGTGACAATCATAGTGTCATGGGGCGAGTCGTGCTGCACCCCCTAGCACCTCACATTATGGTGCATTCCTGGTGAACGTAACCAGGCCCGTAGTCCTCAATTCCACGCTCAATCTCGTTGGCTCGCTGCTTCTCCTTGACTTCCTTCGCAAAGTACTTCTTCATGTACTTTTGAAGCTCAAAATCAAGGTGGTCAGCAGAGGCTTTCAGGACGACATCGGCTCTGCACAGTGGGCAGTGCCTTTCCTTTCGACGCTGGATCTTGATGATGCAGCGAATACAAAAAACGTGTTGGCAATCAAGGCGAATAGGCATGTATGCTACTGAAAAGCACACCGGGCAGAGGTAGTCGTTCAACTGAGGGACCACAGAGACGAGCTCTTGAGACATCTTTGCGCAGACATCCTTGGAAATGCTGCCTGCCAGAAGCTTGTCGGAGTGTACTACAGTGGGGAACTTCCTCGATACGCCCAGTGCCGTACGCTTATCAAACTCTGAAACAAGGTCAGTATTGTGTATGTTATTAGAGGGAGAGGGTCCAACTCACTCTTGAGAATCTTGGCCACGGCAGTCTTGTTGAGCTCCTGGAATTGCAAATTCTTGAGGAGCGAAGCGTTCAGGTTGATGAAACGTGTATAGGCCGCTTGACTCTCTGCGAGTTTGAAACCTTTGGCAATTCCCTCCTTTTCAACTTGATTCTGGAACCACTGCAGCTGCTTCAGGGCCACCTGGCTGGTTCGGGAACCGTGGTCCTGCTCGTGGGTGGCGAAGAAGATCTCTGCATCCAGGTAGAGCTCGAAGATTTGACGCCATCGTGCGAGGTCAGTCTTGGAGAACCGTTTGGGCTTTGCGACCTGCTCAACTTCCTTGCCGAGGGCGACGATCTCGGATGTCATATTCTTCTCTTCCTCGGCTTGAAGGGCGTCGAGATTCGTCACATCACTCTGCAGCATATCAAAAAACTCGGCATCGAAAACAAGAGGGACCTCAATGATTTCGTAGGTTCCATCATCCTTCTCGGTCGGGGGAGTGGTTGAGTCCGATGCCGGAGCTTGGACCTGTGCGCCGGTCGAGATTTCGGTCGTCGGTTCAACAGAGGATTCCAGAGCGGTCTTGGTGGTGGGCTTCTTTGCGGTCTCATCGACAGGTTTGTCGGCGGGGGAGATGACAAGTCTCTCGATTGTATCGTCGGCGAGCTTATCGACAGTCTCTGCAACAAACGGGGGACTGGCCTCGACCAGCGTATCAGAATTTTCGGATTTAGGTAGGCTCGTCACGGACTCAGTGTCGGATTTCGTCTCTGATTCGGCGGGTGGCCGAGCGCCCTTGGGGAGATTTGCGGCGATCTTATTGAGGAACTCCCGCGAGTTTGGTGCTAGCGAGGCATCAACTGGCACGCCATCTTGAAGATGGAGCTGGACGGTGAGCTTGGGGCGGAGATGAGAGTCGGAGCCGCCTATGCGCAATCAGTTTCCGATGCACGACCGTTGCACCTGCTGGAGGCACGAAATGCATAAGGTTGCGGGAATAGGCCTACCGTTGAGCTTATAGTTCAGGGCCACGGGAGATGTTGTGTCGGGCTTGAGAAGTTCGCGCAGTGTCTCTGGATCAAGACCCAGTTCATGCAGCTCTCGCGCGACCTTTTTGAGACATTTCTTGAGCTGGCTGTATGGGATGGCATTGTCGACCCAATGAGGTGGAAAATCTGCATCAGATCAGTCAGTTTGGAGATGTCGCACAAGTGTGAATGTCGCTTGAGTTGTGCGCTGAAAAAGCAGGGACAAAGAGCCAAGAACTGGATATTGTCAAAGAGTTAAGCCAAATAGTGAAACATACCCTGAGTCCGCAGGATCTGCTTAAAGTCGTGAGCAAACTTCATCGTGTTGACGCTGCTGGTAGGGCCAAAATGTTAGGGTGCTTGCATGAGGAGCACGCGACCAGTTGCGATATTGGGGAGTTGGTGGCAAAAAGAACAAGAATAGAAGAAGGGGACGTGACGCTAGAAGCAAGACTTAAAGGACAGTGAATGGCAAAAGGCAAAAGTGATATATCACTCAGAAGGGGGGCACGAAAAGAAAAAGAAGAGGAACAGTGACGAAAATGCGCCGTGTGAATGGGTTTGTTGCAAGAGTGGTCTCGTGGATGGAAAATATCGATGTCGACGAGGGTCTTGGCTGGATTCAGACATGCCCAGACAAAGGTTGGTACCGATTTTAGCGAATGACCTCTTTCTCGCGGTGGGAACGGCGAGGAACGGGTAGGGATTAATGGGAGGCTAGCAGCCTGAGTGGGCTCTCGGCAATCTCGTGCCGGCGACGGTAGAGGCGTCAACCGGACATGAATCAGATGGTTCGACCGTTCGAGAAGGTTGCCGACCATTTTCGTTGACCGAGGCCAAAGGCGACGCCGAGACCCAGGTCGTTCGATGGGGTCTTTGGGCAGTTTGCCTTGGTTCGAGACCTAGTGATTGGCTCGACACGGTTCTGGGATACCTCCCGTCCATGGTTCATCAGCCAGATGAGGTCAAGGGGGAAGGGGAGAGGACCGAGTTCATCAAAATGATGATGCCAGAGACAGAGCAGACTATCATTGAGAGCTCTGAATAGTCCGTGCTCTCTCTAGCTCGTCGATCAACCTTGCAGCTCCTTCCGTTCCTCTCAACCCCGTGTACGCAATGCGTCCCTTAATTGGCAGGGTCCATGTAACGCTAGAGCTTTGACGGGTACTGGGTCACCGAGCATCTTACATGGAACACAAGAACACGATAATGTGCAAATATCCAAGTGTAGATATATGTTGTGAATCCGTTGTGTTAGTCCAGACCTATGTGGCGCGGATGCTTCGAGTGGGAATGCCTGCAACCGTGGTTAGTCATATCCGATGAGTCGATATGAGTAACTAAAAGCAGGCTTGAATCATCCGGCAAAAGTCCACTCAGTCCAACGAATAAGCTTACTGATCTGTCAGTTAATTAACTTGTCCTTCTAGAAACATGTGTCGCCAAGCAAGGGCGGAGTTTGATCCTGCGGGGAACAACCGTAGCCTGCACAACAATCTCTTCAATAAAAATCTCCAGATTCTGCCCCGCGATGCCCCTCCTTCGTCACACAGCTTGAGAGACCTCTACTAAGGAATAAACTACCGCGAGACCCCATTAGATTCACATCTGGCTTCTTGGGAAATTTCGCATATACTCGCCTGTACTTTACAAACAGAGCCATGGGGGCCCAGCAGTCCTCGGAGCACTCTGACGCTTCAGGCGCCGCTCCAGTTGCAAAGACATGTTACTACGATCTGCTTGGCGTTGAACGTTCAGCAACCGACGATGAGTACTTCTCCCCATCTGGTCTCCTAGTTTTTTTATAAGCTGGCAAGGCCGGCCTTGACTAACATATTTCTCCAGGATCAAGCGAGCTTACCGTCGAAAGGCTCTCGAGCTTCACCCCGATCGCAACTTCAACGACGTCGAGGAGGCCACCCGTCGCTTCGCCGAGGTCCAGTCCGCATATGAAATCCTATCCGACCCCCAGGAGAGGGCATGGTACGACTCGCACCGCGATGCCATTCTGAGCGGTCAGGACGACAACGACGCAGATGGCAATCCAGCAACGTTCCGCAATGTGCGACTTACCTCGGCCGAGGAGATTATGAGCTTGATCCGCAAGTTCAATGCCGCAGTACCTTTCGATGACGAACCCACGGGATTCTATGGAATCTGCAGGGAGACTTTTGAACACCTGGCTCTTGAGGAGGAGGTGGCGGCCGAAAACGAAGACGTCGACATCCGAGAATACCCAACATTCGGCTCGTCTGATGACGACTACGAGACAGTCGTAAAGCCCTTTTACAATGCTTGGTCTGGCTTCTCCACTGCCAAATCTTTCTCTTGGAAGGACAAGTATCGCCTGTCTGATGCCCCCGACCGCCGTGTTCGCCGCCTGATGGAAAAGGAAAACAAGAAAATGCGCGACGATGCCATTCGCGAGTTCAACGATGCTGTAAACTTTCTCGTGAGCTTCGTGCGGAAGCGCGATCCTCGGTATCTGCCCAACTCGCAATCCCACGCCGAACGCCAAGCTTCCCTACGAAATGCCGCCGCCGCACAAGCCGCGAGGTCGCGTGCTGCAAATCAAGAGCGTATGGCTGAGTACGAAGTCCCCGAGTGGGCTAAGTCTCGGTCGTCCGACAACGGTGTCGCAGAGGGGAGTTTCTCTGAGTCTGAAGAGGAGGAGATTGTGGAGATTCTTGAGTGCGTCGTGTGTAACAAGTCGTTCAAGAGCGAGAAACAGATGGAGGCGCATGAAAGGAGCAAGAAACACATTAAGGCTGTCCAACAGATCAAGCGACAAATGAAGCGCGAAGGCGTTGAATTGCAACTTGATGAGGTTGATGCCACGCCTGCGCCGGAGGCAGCCGAAGGGGGCAAGCATGATCCCATTCCGGAAGAAAAGGTGAAAGAGGACTCGGACAATTCAGAGACATTAGCCGGGAAGAGGTCACCCCCCTCCAAGGGCAAACACCAAGATCCGAGCCCAGCGGAGTCTGCCGATGTGTCTGATGATGGCGACTATGCGCCCCGAAATGTGGTCGAAGAGAGGCTTACGCCCTCCAAGGCGACGCAGGAGGCAGCGAATAACTCTGATGAGGAGCTCTCTGCTGCTGCCAAGGACCTTTCCGTTGATGAGCCCTCGCAAGGCAAGAAGATAGGAAAGGCCAAGGCCAAACGCGCCAAGAAAGCTGCGGCCGCCCAAACCCAGCAGCAGGATGAAGGGGTATGAACATCACCCCGGTCTAGATTGACACTGGCTAACAACTTGTCACAGCAAAAATGCGGAGTCTGCGGGGAGACATTCTCTTCCAGGACCAAGCTCTTTACACACATCCGCGACGAAGGTCATGCCTCGTTGAAACCAGCAACCGGAGGCGGCCAGAGGAAAAAACGCTGAACATCTCTTGGCAACAAATACACTCAAATGTGTTCTCACGTCTACGGCCAAGCGCGACCAAAACGATGACTACGTCCCGGATGACTACTGCCGTACACAAGACAGAGACTGGGATCTGGGAATGGTATAAGCTGGTTCGTTCGAATTCGTATTCATCTATCCCTAGTATAACTCCCAAGCCCACCGCCTATTCAATGGCAAAGCAGCAAACACAACCAAGACGCCAACCAACCCAACCAAACTAGGCCTCATGAATGGTGTCCGCATCATCATCATCACTCAGCGTCTCCACTTCATCAATCGCACTCTCCCGACCCTCACTGGAGCCTCCAAGGAGCGCGCTTCGATCCGCTACGTGGATAATCGACTTGCCCTGGACGTGCTTTACGCATCGCTTCCAATTCTGCCAGTCGTCCTCGCTTCGGATCAAAAATCCTATCAACATGCTCGGATCCATCTCACGAACGTGGATGCGACGTAGTCGGGAAGTGTGACAAGATGCGATCTCCTCCTCGGTATAGTCGTCTGGGTTCTCGTGGTAGGGGAGTGCGGGTCTGGTATGGTGGGGGTCGAGGTAGAACAAGAACGAACCTTGTGCCCCAACAAAGTAGTGTGATGAGGATGGGCGGCCGCTAGATACGGGTTATCGGCAAGTTCATATCATGGGGATTCACGTGGCTTACCCTGCAATTCCTACAGACTGGGGCATTTGTAGGGATGCGATGAGGGCCTCCCAGTAGACAGGCGTTATCTTGTCGATTCCCAGACGAGTTCCAACAAGAATGAGCGTGGGATGAAATGCTTCCCCCTCTGGCTTCGCAATCTTCATAAACTCGTCCTCGTAAACGTCGGGGCCGTCGCCTGTTGAGTATACTCGAAGTGATGATTCGTGCGAGTTCGCAAGCGCTCTGGTGGAACGTCGATTAGTGAACTGCGGGAGAGCTTGGGCTTGTTCTGTTGACTTACTGGATGCACCGGGCAGTTGCTGACGGTCCGAACCACTCGCCTGGGTACTTGCCACACGCGCTGGCACCATGACGGACGAAGCTATGGAGGGAGTAGGGGGCGTTAGGGTGGTCGGCAAACAATTTAATGATTTCCCGCTCTTCATGTGGTGATTGTCCTCGGCGCCAGTCTAATGATAAGTGAGCTGGGTGTTGGCACTGTACGACTAACATGACTTCTTACCTCTGCCCAGACGGATCATGCCTATGGTATTTGCAAGCAGGCTCTGGCCTGATCGAATCATGCAACCCCATCCACTGTCGGAAGAGAAAGGGCTCTGATCACCCAGCTGGCTCTTCAACCTCATCGATAGCGAGAGGGAGGAAGTGGCTTGTGGGTTGGTTGATCGAGGGATGGCCTCGAATTCAGACCTATACGTCATCCAGATCCTCGACTCGAAATCGGCCATGAATTGTGGCGGCCAGCCGTTGTCTTTTGTTGGTTCATCATATGCTAGCGATGACGAGAAGCTGCTCGATATCGATTCCGGTGGGGTTTCGGGTGCGTTGACTGGTGGGACGGGCGGTCGACTGGTGTCTTGAGCCTCTGCGTCTGGCTTCGGCGCTGGGGGCGGTGTCTGGGGACTGCGGTTGTCGTTCTTGGTGCTTTTGCTGTCACTGAGCTTGTATGAGTGTCCGAGGCACCACACGGGTTGGTCGTGGGCGACATCGTTGGTCGGCTCGGGATCCCAGAACATCTGCACTATTCGCCGATAGCGCCCAAGGTCGACGTTGGCCATGGCGGCTTCCATAGCGGCTGTAACCTGTGCGACTGTGTCAAGCTGGCATCTGCAAGTGTCGGTGTCGATACTGGAGTGGGCTGTGATCCGATCGGGAGCCTAGTATGAAGAGTGTTGTGTAATGAAGGGAGACGATGGCGACTTGAGATGGATAACGAAGCTGCTGGCGAAGGCAGCAAATGGGTCTTGGGTCTGGCTGTGTGGGGAGTCAGCTGGGGCCGGCGGCGGCGGGGGAAGCGGCGGCTTGTGACTCCCTCCTCAAGGCCGCCTGAGGTGGTGGTTCCGGATGAGGTGGAGCCCCACAGGCAACAGGTGCAAAGGAATCCTGCGCACGGACCACTCGACGCGATGTGAGAAATCGAGAGCGATGGGGATGATGATGGTCGATCTAGGGCATGGTTGATGTCAATATGCCTTTTTTATGTGTTCTTCGTATTTGTTTCACTACTTGACGCGAAATTTGACACGTGTTTGCTGTCCTTTGTCCGTGTTTCTGATTATGTCTGCATTCACAAAGATTATGTTGAAGCTCATGCAAATAATGTTAGAGAGTTCAAGTGATTTCATCGTCAAAGCTGGCAAATAAGACGAAAACACCACACGATCCGATCAAGACGGAGAAAAATTTGGAGAAGCACGTAAAACAGTCAAGTAACTCATCTATCAAATATGAAAGGCTATTGAACTCCCAACTACCCAAGAATCAGGCGCATAAACCCGAGCTGGAGGCTCCCAACAATTACCCTACACCTGAGCGATGCACGCACTCATTGAAGTGACGCACCATAGCTGCGGTCTCCACCTGCTGATCCCCGCTTGGCCGCAAGCACCGGCCCCACCAAGCACCCCTGCTGCACACAACGTTTCCATGACTCTCATCGTCTGGGACAACTCCACAGTCTTTTGAAAAAGCCAATCAAAAAGCGTCACAGGCCGAGATACCCACCGCGGGGTGACTCTTTTTGTTGTCAACAACATAGCTTTTGCTAGCATCCACTGCGTGAGACTTTTTACACAAACGCTCTGTGCTGGAGGCTCATACATCTACGGCCAAACCGCCACCCGCTCCATCGACTGTGAGGAGCCTTCACAATGCCGGCGATCGATTCATAGTTCGCCATGCCGAGAAACAAGAAGGGAGCCTCTACGCCTCGTGGCGCAAAGAACGCCCGAGGTGGACGAGGAGGTCGCGGAGGCCGAGGAGCCTTTCGTGGACGCGGCAACTATTCGCCTGCACCAGCCCGAGTAAACTTCATCAGAGAAGAGACCACCGGTAACCAGCCCAATACACTACTGGGTAGACACCCGGAGCCCGAGGATGTGCTATGGCCGGCTTACTGACAGCACCACAGCTGGGTTTACACTCGCAGACGAAGCTCGACAGACTTCCCAGCATGACCCTTCCAGATGGAATAACTTGCGCATGCGACCCGTCAAGTTTGTCAGCGCTGGGCCAACTGAACCATTGAAGCTACTAGACGTGCTGCTTGACGAAGAAAATGACGAAGCTGAAGAACCAACCACCACGGCGTCGCCTGAAATCAGTACCCAACGAGACATGCAAGTCGATACACAAGATGAGTCCGACAACGAGATTGACAACCACGGCGAGAGAGGCGGGCACGAGGCGGACGTGGAGGAGGACTCAGACGAAGATGATCATTTTATCGGACCTGACGAACTCGAAGAAGCTATCCAAGCCCAAGTCGAGCCCGACAATGAAACCTCGGAGGAACCATCATTTTTCTTTGACCTGAAAGGAGACCAGTCACAGCCCAAGCTTCAGCAGGGCTCAGTCGAGATCCCAGAGCGACCGTCTTCAAGAAGCAGCAGCTCGAGCGAGGAGGTTATCCTGTTCAAGGGTCGCGCAGCCCCACGAAAGCCTCCGCAGACGGAAGAGATCAACATGGCTCAAATGCAGACCGAGATACGGGTCGTCGAGCAAACAATCATCACTGAGTCGGCACCAGCACCACCGTCACCCGCACCCGAATTGAGCGTCGAGCCACGGAATCGCAAGAAGCTATCTAAGAAGGAGAAGAAGGAGAAACAGCGCGAAAAGAGAAACGCGCGAAGAGAACTACAGGAGGAGGAAGATGCCATCCTCGCAGACTACATCGCCAACATGAAGGAAAATAGCGATGATGAGTATTTCCGACAACTCATCGACGGTGGAAGCGAATCGGACGATGCTGAAGAGGATGCGTCTGACTCACATGTCGCAACATCCAAACAGCAACGCGCCTCCTCCAAGAAAAAGGACCCGGAGACAAGTGATTCAGAGGAAGACCAAGAGGAGGATTTGTCTGAGGAGGAGGGCGAGGACGAGGACGACGAAATGCCTAGCGAAATCGACGACGAGACACTGGCAAGACTCATTGCAGGCCAAGAATTGAGCCAGGACCTGGGCATGGACGACGTCAATTTCGGCGATTCATCGAGTGATTCGGATTCCTCTAGCGACAAGAAGGCCAAGAAGCGATATCCGGGAGTTGACGACGAGGTTGACCTGATGGATTGGGAACGACCCAGCTTGCGGCGGCGCAAGGGCAAGGGCGCAAAGGCGCAGATCACGTTCAACCTATCCGACTCGGAATTGGAGGCGCAACTCCAAGCCGCCTGGAAAACTGACCGACAAAAGAAGTCTGAACGTAAGAAGCAGCGAGAGGAGTTGCGCGCGCTTGGGATGCTCGGAAAGAAGGCCAACCCTGACGATCTTCGTGTCAAATACCCGGATGGCATGAATATGGATCAGGTTGCAGAAGAGCTACGAGCGTTCCTCGTGAGCTCTGATGAGCAGTGAGTCCATCCTCCACATTCCGCCAGTCGTTTGCTGACCACTTCCTAGACTTACGCTACCACCCATGGACAACAATGCGCGAAAGATGATCCATGAGCTGGCCAATAAGTTCAAAATCAAGTCCAAGTCGACGGGCAAGGGAGACCAGCGAAGACCAACTCTCTATCGTACAGCTCGCACGCTTCCCTACGTAGCAGTGACTTTCGATCAAGCCATTAATCGCGTCAACCGACGATACTTCCCTCGACTCGACATGAAAGGTAAAAAGTCGAATCGGCTTCCACCTGTCCGTGGCGGCGCAAGTATTGCGGCTGCGACCTACCAAGATGGTGAGATCGTGGGCGGCTCAGCGCCAGAGCTTGGTGTTGAGAATCGCGGTCGCGCCATGCTGGAAAAGATGGGGTGGAGTTCTGGTACGGCGCTGGGTGCCATGAACAACAAGGGAATTCTGCAACCTGTCACGCACGCAATGAAGCGGTCAAAGGCCGGACTCGGCTAGATATTGATTCGATACGCGAACATCAGGAAGGACTGGAGCTGTGAGCTGAGAACCGGACAACACCTGTAACACTATGCAAATAGAAGGGGGCTTTCAAGTGCACGAATTCATGTTATCGAGACCCTATTTCTCGATGTTTATTGTACAACCGCGAACCCCGTTGCCCGTGTGTGAAGACATTGCCCCCAGTGAAAAACAAAACCATCCGTAACGCATTATGAGGCTCCTAAAAACAGGGCCAGATGCCCATGAAACCTCGGAGTCATGACACCCTGATGCCACGCGAGAAAAACCAATTGACCAAAACAAACCAGCAAGTCAAGCCACTTATTTCGTCGAGGAGGAGTACTTGGTGACGGCCTTGGTACCCTCAGAGACAGCGTGCTTGGCAAGCTCACCGGGGAGGATCAGGCGGACAGAGGTCTGGATCTCTCGGGAAGAGATGGTGGACTTCTTGTTGTAGGCAGCCAGCTTGGAAGCCTCAGAAGCAACGCGCTCGAAGATATCTGAGTCAAAGTTAGGATAATGGACTTGGAGACGACAGATGAACCAAAACATACCGTTGACGAAAGAGTTCAGGATGGACATGGCACGGTTGGAGATACCAGTGTCGGGGTGGACCTGCTTGAGGACTGGAGATGCAAGTTAGTTTGACGCGTTTGGAAAAAGCGTGACGCGAAAAGGCGCGAATGGGATTGGAACTCACCCTTGTAGATGTAAGAAGAGTAAGTCTCCTTGCGGGTCTTGGAGCGCTTCTTCTTGTCACCAGAAGCAGCGGTCTTCTTGCCGGCATCCTTCTTCTCGGGAGCCTTGGAGGCAGTGGCGGGGGCCTTGGAGGCGGGCTTCTTGTCGGCGGCCTTGGGAGGCATTTTGAAAGATGTGAGATCGGTGAAAAAAGACTGAAAAGTCGAAGAGTGTGGTTGAGTTGGATGTGCGAGAACGCGAGCGTGTGTTGCGGCGAAGAGAGCTGGTGGTGATGGAAAGTGATGGCGAGACAGGAAGATCGGGGGGTGGGTAGGCTTTTTGTAGCTGGGCGCGCGTCGGTGCAAGCGGGTTACTGATTGCACTTGGGGGGCGTGCGCACGCGTGCCTGCTAGCGGGAGAGGTTGGCAGGGTGGAGGTGATCTGGGCGTTGCTGGTCGCGCCTGCGTGGCCCTCTTTTTCTTTTCATTCCCCTTGGACTGCTGGGAAAATAAAAAATGGCGAGTGTCCTATTTTTTGATTGGCCGGATTTGCGCGACAGCCAACATGCTGCTGGTTCTCTTTTTTGATGCGAGAGAGAGACGCAGTCGCCCCACTGGCTTCTCTTTTCGTCATCCTGAGGAGTGCACCGCTTCTGGTCTGCCTTCCGTGATCTCGCGCGCAGCTGGCCTCTTCCATTGCTAAATCAACCTAGCCCAGCCACTATCTCCGTCTTCGTCTTCATCATCCTTCCTCGGCTTGCCGACTGGGTCAATCTTCTCCCACTCTTTTACTTCTTTCCTTCTACACATCACACATTCTTGACCTCTACTACCATAGCATGCCTTCTTCACTTAGAGTCATCTTCATGTTGTGTAGAACCCGTGTTGCAACGCCATGCTGTCCCGAAAACTCGCGTAGATATCGTCACTTTTGCATCGTGAATGAGCATCGTAGAACCTTCAGCATCTAAGCTCGTACTTCCACTGGCGTCTCCCCATCCCTGCTCGAGGCCGACGCGCCCCGGGGACGCGCCCGTTCCTTCTCAGATGCTCCCGCACATGTCCCGTCACGGCCGTGACAGATGACCGCTCGTCCTCCGGTGTTGACGCTCTGCTGGCCAGTCTCCGTCCCGTCTCTCGCTCTCCACATTCCCCAGAGTCTGGAGCTCCGAGTCCGAGTCTCTCACAGGGCTGCCGGCTCCGTTGACTGCCGGAATGGAGAGATCTCCTAGAGATCCGATCCGGAGCATTGGGGCTCAATTGTGGACCATATGCACATGGTTTCTACGTCACGATGCCCTGAAATGGGGTTGTTTAAGTCAAATGAGGTCCTATATACGTCCAAGATGGAACATTAAAGCAAAATATGACTCTACAAAGCTTGAACAAGTGTCAAACTTCATAGATCATGACCCAAAAAGATGAAGATATCCTACGAACACCAAAGTAAATGGAAGTGAAAGAGCTTCAAGCCCAAACAACAACAACAAAGGTTCAAAATCAGACAAAAGGTTTGACTTGACCCAGAGACCCAACTCAATCAAACCAAGTGGACAAGCCCAAATGCCCTCGATATCTCCTACCAAAGAAATCACGCAAAACGAGTCGACCGAGCAACAAACCTGGCTCAGACAAACGAGAAGAGATGAACCAGAAAAAAGTGCAAGACTCGGGGTGTCCAAGGGTACTGGAAAACAATGCTGATTTCAGACGTCCGACCTCCCTCCAATGAACAAATGCTCCTGAGCAGAAATTTCAGCACGCGGCCGGAAAATGAGGAACAAAGGTGAAAAATCGTGCGAGGTGGACGGTCGGGGGTGAAGGAGGATACCCAGAAAGACGCGGGTGGGTGATTTTGGGCCTTGGTGGCACGCGCGTTGGGGGGGAGGTCGGTTTTATTATTTCGCCGTGCCAGGGAGACAGGCGTGGCAGGTGTGCCTGTTTTTTATTTATTTTATTCGGTACGCCCATTTTCGCCTGATCGGGCTAGCGCCAAATCGCGCGCGCTCGTCCCGTGGGTGATCTGGGATCAGAGCTCTGACGCGCGAAAAGTACTTAACCTCTACCTCCCCCGCCAACTTCGACTCTCTCATCAACTTCTCGCAATTGTCATCACCACGACGCTCTCCGACTCATCCATTCGTCGCAAAGTCTCACCAGACTCACTCACTTCTTTTTTCACCCAAACCACCCCAACCAACCCACTTTCAAAATGACTGGCGGCGGCAAGTCTGGCGGCAAGGCCTCTGGTTCCAAGAACGCGCAATCGTGAGTCTCCCCCGTTTTCCCAGATTGCCACGCCAACCTGGTCGCGTTTTGATGCTATTCATGACGCGCCTTCCACTTTTCTCTTTGACCTTGATGCTTACACATGTTTTCCACAGGCGTTCTTCCAAGGCTGGTCTCGCGTTCCCTGTTGGTCGTGTCCACCGTCTTCTCCGAAAGGGCAACTACGCTCAGCGTGTCGGTGCCGGTGCCCCTGTGTACCTCGCTGCCGTCCTTGAGTATCTTGCTGCCGAAATCCTCGAGTTGGCTGGCAACGCTGCCCGTGACAACAAGAAGACCCGTATCATCCCCCGTCATCTCCAGCTCGCCATCCGAAACGATGAGGAGTTGAACAAGCTTCTGGGTCACGTCACCATCGCCCAGGGTGGTGTCCTACCCAACATCCACCAGAGTACGTTACCTACTTTACTCTTGCATTCCATTACTGACTTGTTTCTTTCAGATCTTCTGCCCAAGAAGACTGTCAAGGGTGGCAAGAACGCGAGCCAGGAGCTGTAAGCGGGTCGTTGGTTTGTGTTTTCTTGCGATGGTGGGTTGTTTGGGTCGTCATGACAAAGGGGTCACGGTTCAGGGTTCACACGGTTGCTTTTATCACTTTATTCGCGCGTTAGGGTTGTACAATAATCCCCCACGGCATGGTCATGAATAAGAAGACTTCAAAGATCAACCCTGTTTCCCCTGTGGCATCTTGATACTGATAGCGAACTGTACTGCATTTGTAATTCTTCCATCTTAGCGACATGCGATTTGCAACAATGTTTCCGACAACTCATCGGTCTTTCCGGACTCTTCACAACTCTTCGCGTTTCCAGTCTGTTGTAGGGAGGAATGGCCTTTACTCGTTGATATTATTTCGTCTCGGTGTTGCTGGATTGAGCTAGGTTTGGGTATTGGAAATGAACCTTGGTTAGATGTGGCGAAAAGCAAGACCGGCTCTGGTAGAAAATCGATCGATCGTAGATGTCTGCTGAGCTCGGAAATGCGTTTCGGTATCGCGGCAACCGCACGAAGAACTCAAGTGACCAAAACTTTCTTTGATTCATGCTACAATTGGTTCGGCTGTCCCGTCCATGCCCTCTATATACAAATATATTCTCATACAACCCAGGTAGTCCGGCCGTGGTTTTAATGTCGGTTGACGGGGTGGGGGGGAGCTGTCGGTTGATCAGTATCAATATGATTCCTCCATGGGGGGCAGGGGTTAGCGGCTCACGGTCGAGGATAGGCGATGGCAGGTTTCGCTCGAACTTTGAGCCTGTGAGTCGTTGTTAGCAGCTTGCATAGGGTCGTCGTTGGCCAATGGACAAGCATACCTCCGGGAGCAGTCGGGGGCGTGTAGGGATCGGGGTGCTTCCAGCTCTCCAGTAGCTTCTCTGTCTCCGTCAACAGAGCCTGTATTCCATTGTCAGCCCGCATTCGTCCTCCGGCAGCCAATTGTCCTCTCACTCTTTGGTGTCTCGGATCAGTCACATTGCGGTTGGCCTCGAAGAGTGAGCGAATATAAAGAGCCTGGCCACGCCACAAGTGTCGGTGGACGGCCCAATCCAGCGCCAGCTTCAATGAGCGGCGGTAGAGGGATCTAGAGTCCAAAAAGGTCAGCATGTATAGCTCGAGGGGCTCGACAGTCGTGTGCTCGGCCGTTCGGATGGGTTTGTGGTTACTGACAGAGCAGCTCGTCGCGTCGACATGGTGGATGAGGTGCTGAGGGTGCGCGAGGCCGGGCCCAGTCGAGAAAGACTCCTCGCTAGGGTGCAATTGATCGAGTTTCGTGAGGTATCTCGCCGACTGGCGCTCGCACAATGGAATCCGGTGTTGACCTGTTGTCTTGGGTGAGGTTGTGTTGCGACGAAGAATGCCGACAATGACGGCAGACTGATTGGTGCCTTGTGGCCTCGTTCCGGAGAATTGCCGACCATATTGAGCCTACCCTATACATCTCATGGAAACAGAAACAGGGACTTCTTGGGCTTATTTCTTCTTTTATTGCCCTAATAATCTAGAATCTATGTTTCTGGGGTGACGCGAATCGATTGAGTGTAGTATTGATATATGGGTGTGATATTTTTCGTTTTCTGCTGACTTCTTCAAATGTCCCGTCTCGATGCATGATTCAGGGAGACTGTCTTCTGGCTCGGAGTTTGGAATCCAGCACAATTCATCACATGAGCCCCTACAACTCTAATTTTTACCCACAAAGACCTCATGTGCTGACTGTATCTTACAACCGAAGGATTTTTGCACCAGTTCCACGAGATAATTGACAAATGAACGTTGAAGAGCTCGAATTGAGCCTCGGAGCTGTCAAAAACCCCACGTTGGATTGATTCCCGAAAGCTCCGTCCCCTGGGTTGGAATTAGTTTTTGGCTACTTCTGAGTGGTCGAGTTGTTTGACCCATAATTTGCACCAGCCCCGCCCATTCCATTACCAGCCACTCCCGTATCTCTCGGCAAGCCACACCAGCCACGGTCACTCTACACTTACGCACAGACACCAGTCCTTATCGCGAGCTGAGCAGATTAGATTGCGACATCTCGCGATAAGCACATGGTCAGATGTGAGAAGGAACAGACTCAACAAGGAGACTTGTGATGGTTGAATAAGCTCTCTTTCCATCAAGAGCGACATGAGAAAAGGAACCTTCTCACGGTTCTCCGCGTTGTCGGCGTATCGGGCCATGGCTGGCACATTAAGTGGAGCAGACACAACCAGACAATACCGAGAGTCATGTTAAGGGGCATTGTCTAACACAAGCACGACTGAGGAACAACGAACTGATTAATATTTAGTGGGTTGAAGTATGTCCGTGATACGCATGTGAGTCTAGAAGATCCAACCCAACTTGATGCCCCCCTCCCGCAGGTTAAGCCCGATCGAAATAGGCACAGCATACTGCATGGTAAGCAATGCGCTGTCATCGTATAGCTTACTAGATGCAATGCTACAATGAGTTGCCATTCTGCATGCAATTGAGGTCGGGTTAACAAAGCTAGTCGGGTTCTTCCATATGCAAAGGATAATAGCTAAATAAGAGTAATCTATAACTTGTAATACTTAATAATCAGAGGGTATTCTATATTAACGCGACTTACCCCCTTAATTAATTAAGCCTTAAGAAATATATTAAAATAGCTTAAATTAAATTCTAAAAGTATATAAAGCCTATTAAGCTATAAGGAAATAATTATAAAATAAAATAATTAAAATTTAACTTATATTAGCTAAGAAAGGGCTAATTAAATATATATATATATATTTATTACTATTAAACTTATTATTAAACTTATTATTATTTATATATTTATATAAGCTAATATTTATATATTATATATTTAATTAAATAGGTTTAATTAATTAAACCTATAGACTTTTATTTATTACTAAGTTTTAGTTTAATATTAAGCCCTTATACTAATACTTTTTAAGTTTATAAAACTTTATTATTAACTCTAAGAATTAATCCCTCTAAATAAACCTATAATATTAATAACCTTAATAAGCTTTATTTCTTAATATAATTATACCTATAGCTATATAGCTAGATCTTAGCTAATTATAATAAGACTTTTTTAATATTTATTTAATAATATAAAAAGTCTTAATATTTATTATAAATATTATAAGTTATATCTTATATTAATTATTTTTTATATTTATAAAAAAGCTTTTTTTTTATTTTTATTTTTATTTTTATTTTAAGAGCTTTTAATAAAAAAAGCTTTTTTTTAATAAAATTAATCTTTATATAAATATAAGAATTAAATATATAAAAAAAAAAAAAAAAAGGTTATAATTAAAAATTATAAGCTTAATTAATATTAAATTACTAAGTAGCGCGCTTAAATTAATACTTTAAATAGCTTTATATAAGATTATTTCTAATAGTTTATTATAAGTATTTTTTATGCCTTTATAAAGCTTATTTATTATTAAAATTATTATTAAAATTATTATTATTTATATATTTATATAAGCTAATATTTATATATTATATATTTAACTAGATAGGTTTAATTAATTAAACCTATAGATTTCTATTTACCGCTAAGTCTAGCGCCGAGCCTTAGCGCTAATACTTTTTAAGTTTATAAAACTCTGCCGCCGACGCTAAGAACTAATCCCTCCGAGGTATTAAACCTATAATACTAATAACCTTAATAACCTCTATTTCCTAATATTACGCTTATAGCTATATAGTTAGATCCTAGCTAGCTAATTTCTTTAATCTTTATTTAATAGTATAAAAAGTCTTAATACTTATTATAAGTATTATAAGCTATATTTTATATTAATTATTATTTATATCCTTAAGGAAGTTTCTTTTTTTATTAATAAGATTTTTATTTTTTTTTATTTTTATCTTAAGAGCTTTAAGTAAAAAAAGCTCTTTTTTAATAAAATTAATCCTTATATAGGTATAAGAATTAAATATAAAGAGGCTAAGTAAAAAAAGAAGAAAATTATAACTAAAGATCGCGAGCTTAATTAATATTAAATCGCTAAGTAATATACTTAAATTAATACTCTAAATAGCTTTATATAAGATTATCTCTTATAGCCTATTATAAGTGCTTTTTATATCTTTATAAAGCTTATAAACCTCTTTAATAAGATTATCTTAATTATATAAGAAGGCCTATTAATAGGTATTAGTCGCATTATTATAATTATTTAGTTAGAGGTCTCTTTAAAAAGCTATTATAATCTTCTTTTATATTATTAATTAATTAGCTAATTATTAATTAATTAATTAATTAATTAATTATAGTTATTAATTATAATTATTAATTATTAATTAAATTTCCTTTTATAAGGATAATAAAAGTATAATCCCTTAAGATTTATATCTCTTTAAGTAATTAAGAATCCTAAGGATAATTAGAAGGTTAATAATAAAAGGGAGAATTATTATAGGAAGAGGTTAGATATTAACCTCTTTAACTAATTAAGATATAATTTATTTATTATAAATAGAGCTATTATTAAAGGTATTAATAATTATATAAATAAACTTTATTAATTTAAGCCTATTAAGACCTTAGGCTTTAGGTATAGAGCCTTTATTATTAAATTTACTAAGATTTTAATTAAGATACTTTAATCCCCTTTTTAGGTAGAATAAAGTTAAATAATAATAATAAAGCTTATAGACCTTTTTAATAAGGTTATCTTAATTATATAAGAAGGCTTATTAATAGGTATTAGCTATGCTATTATAATTTTTTAATTAAAGGTCTCTATAAAAGGCTATTATAATCTTTTTTTATATTATTAATTAATTAGCTAATTATTAATTAATTAATTATAATTATGAATTATAATTATTAGCTATAATTAAACCTTCTTTTATAAGGATACTAAAAGTAATTTATACCTCTTTAAGTAATTAAGAATTATAAGGATAATTAGAAAGTTAATAATAAAGAGGAGAGCTATTATAAGAATTTAATTAATAATTTTAATTACTAACTAAAAAATTAATATTAGTTATAATTAAAAGATTAATTAATAGTTAGTAATTAAAATTTAATTAATTTTTTAATTAGGTTTTAAT